AGAGCAGCCTGTGTTACCAGTGACCCCAGAGTATCATGTGTCACCCAGTGACCCCAGAGCATCCTGTGTCACAAAGTGACCCCAGAGCAGCCTGTGTTACCAGTGACCCCAGAGCAGCCTGTGTTACCAGTGACCCCAGAGTATCATGTGTCACCCAGTGACCCCAGAGCATCCTGTGTCACAAAGTGACCCCAGAGCAGCCTGTGTTACCAGTGACCCTAGAGCAGCCTGTGTTACCAGTGACCCCAGAGCATCCTGTGTTACCAGTGACCCCAGAGTATCATGTGTCACCCAGTGACCCCAGAGCATCCTGTGTCACAAAGTGACCCCAGAGCAGCCTGTGTTACCAGTGACCCTAGAGCAGCCTGTGTTACCAGTGACCCCAGAGTATCATGTGTCACCCAGTGACCCCAGAGCATCCTGTGTTACCAGTGATCCCAGAGCATCCTGTGTCTTCTTGTGACTTCAGTGTGCCATGTGACCTGAGCATCTCTTATGTTACCTACTGACTTCAGTGAGCCCTGCATGCCCCATGACCCCAGTGCACACCAGAGTATGCTGTGCCCCAGTGCACCCCAGAGAAGTCAGGGTGCCCTGTGTCCTACGTAGCCTCAAGTATGCCCCTGTGATCTCCTGGAGTGCTCCTCTCTCTCATTGGACACGGACACCTGTCTATGACAACATGACTGGGACATCAAAGCCTGTTTTTGGACATGAAGTCTGAGGTGATGAAAGAGCTCGGCTCCACCCCAGGGCTCCGTGCAACAATAACAAGTCAGTATGTCAGGGAAGATTCTAGAATGTGACATTCACACACAAAAATAACAAAGTGACTTTAACCTCTTCTCGGGGATATTCGTCTGATTGATTTGCTGGTGAAATCACCAAAGTTCAACTGATTAGCAGGTTTACCTCCCCTCCTGGCAAAACCATTAATGCACATACCCCGGCTCCAGAACAGGCCTAACGACAGCTACACCATGCAGGAACAGAGCAGGGAAGGACTGCCGCCACTTGGCATTATGGGAGCAGAGCTTGTTTTTTTCTTGTCATTTCATGGAGCTTCAAAACGCAGCAACTAAACGCTGAAATCTGTACGCATGTGTGTGACAGTCAAGAGCATTGGGGAGAATATAACGAATAAAACTAAAGTGAACACAGAGTTATATTATGTGGCCATTTTACATACAGGTCGTGCTATGTGGAAATTTTTAAGTCATTCCAAAACTGTGCTGCGAAGAAAGGCAACTCTACGGTGGGCATAGGGGTACAATTATTCGCACTTCGCCCTCCAGCCGCCGCCTTACTCACTCTCCCCCCAGATCCACAATCCGGTGTGTTTCTCCTATAACAGAGCCAGTCTGCCCCCCAGCCCCACCCCCAGAGTCATTATGTTGTCTGTTACGGCTGAGCAGCGACAATGCCCTCGGAGAAAAGGAACAAATCTCAACTGATTGGCCGCCGATGTGCTCTTCAAACTGTGGCATGTAAATATGGCTTCCAGGTTCTCTAAAAAGTGTCTCTCTGGGATCTGGATGGGAAAGTCCCCTCAATAGAGATAAGTTCAATATGGGATATCCTTTACTCTTCTTCTTCTTCCTCCTCCTCCTCCTCCTCCTCCTCCTCTTCCTCTTCTTCCTCTTCCTCTTCCTCTTCCTCTTCCTCTTCCTCTTCCTCCTCCTCCTCCTCCTCCTCCTCCTCCGCCGCCATCACCTCCACAATGAGCTCGGCGGTGCAGGATGCCTCCCCCTGGCTGTTGCTGGCTTTGCACGTGTATTTGGCATCATCGTCACCGCACACTTCCGAGATGGTGAGAGAGCAATTGCCATCTTCATCGTACTCTATCTGGAAGTGGCGAGACTCCTTGATGGGATGATCGTCCTTGTACCAGATCACCTCAGGGTCAGGATGACCTGGAGATCCAAAAAAAAGATGTTCAACTTTAACCAGTTGTGGACACAAAATGTACTATAAATGCCCCAAACTTCATCGTAGTGCACAGAGTGAGTGTGTGGTGCATCCTGTCCTTCTGCCCCTCTGCCACGCAACCCCCCACCCCCCCTCGCACCTAATTGTAAGTCCTGACTGCAAAAATGACAGCTGAGAGTTGCTGTGTAAGTGAGATACAAAGTAACATTGTTTATAAACATTGATCAGAGGGGAGATAGAGAGATACAAAGTAACATTGTTTATAAACATTGATCAGAGGAGATAGAGAGATACAAAGTAACATTGTTTATAAACATTGATCAGAGGGAGATAGAGAGATACAAAGTAACATTGTTTATAAACATTGATCAGAGGGGAGATAGAGAGATACAAAGTAACATTGTATATAAACATTGATCAGAGGGGGAGAGAGAGATACAAAGTAACATTGTTTATAAACATTGATCAGAGGGAGATAGAGAGATACAAAGTAACATTGTTTATAAACAAGGGATGAGATTCAATGTTTATATGATGTCAGTCAAAGCATCAGTAAAAAACAAAAGTTTAAATAAACGTGTTTCCTATTTAACCCTTTAATAACTCTTAGTTTACCCTGGTCATAAATAACTACCTTTACAGTATTTCTATTTTTCTAACTATCAATATTGTAACTTTTTTTTTGTTTTGTTTGATTTTCTGTTGCAGTAAAAAAAACTGCAACATTTAAAAAAGCATTTATTTAACTTGTGATGTGTAACTTTGCATCAGAATAATATTTTCTGTCCTTTTAAACAATACATTTCCGAATACTTTTTATCTACAAAAAAACATTTTTTTGTAAACTAACACTGATTGGAAAAAAATGTTTAGGTTTTGTTTGTCCATGTATTGCATAAAATATTTTTTTCTCCAAGACAGTAACCCCCGAGGAAAGCTTTGCTTGTCCTAAAAAAATGGTAAAATTTGCTCTGAAACGTATTTAATGATGAAGTAAGCACCTTCAATCCTGCAGTCGAATCTGGCCGCGCTGCCCTCCACCACTTCAATATCCAACATGGTTTTGGTGATGACCGGCTTCATTGGAGGTTTCTCCTCAGACACGGCCTCCAGGAAGGCCTGGTTGTCATCTGAGAAGAGAGGTCGATGTTACTAATACAGACAGCAAAATGGAAACATTTCTGCTCCCTCTCCTTGTGCGGGGTGACTGGTCTCGTCTCCGCCCCTTCTGTAGTTTCCTGTAGTGGGTGGGGCCTGCTGGGCTATGTACAGCACAGTGATGATGTCACTGCCACTTTTATAAGGGTATATCTGGGTATGCAAAGGCATTTTCATTTATAGTAATAAACTTATATCCTCCATTGCCATTGATTAATATATTCACATGAAGGTTTTTGCTCCTGGAGTAAAGTAGCCAATAATCCTAAATAGGAATGAGTGAATCACTAAAGAACAATAGGGGGTCCAATATTATAAACATTGATCAGAGGGAGATAGAGAGATACAAAGTAACATTGTTTATAAACATTGATCAGAGGGAGATAGAGAGATACAAAGTAACATTGTTTATAAACAAGGGATGAGATTCAATGTTTATATGATGTCAGTCAAAGCATCAGTAAAAAACAAAAGTTTAAATAAACGTGTTTCCTATTTAACCCTTTAATAACTCTTAGTTTACCCTGGTCATAAATAACTACCTTTACAGTATTTCTATTTTTCTAACTATCAATATTGTAACTTTTTTTTTGTTTTGTTTGATTTTCTGTTGCAGTAAAAAAAACTGCAACATTTAAAAAAGCATTTATTTAACTTGTGATGTGTAACTTTGCATCAGAATAATATTTTCTGTCCTTTTAAACAATACATTTCCGAATACTTTTTATCTACAAAAAAACATTTTTTTGTAAACTAACACTGATTGGAAAAAAATGTTTAGGTTTTGTTTGTCCATGTATTGCATAAAATATTTTTTTCTCCAAGACAGTAACCCCCGAGGAAAGCTTTGCTTGTCCTAAAAAAATGGTAAAATTTGCTCTGAAACGTATTTAATGATGAAGTAAGCACCTTCAATCCTGCAGTCGAATCTGGCCGCGCTGCCCTCCACCACTTCAATATCCAACATGGTTTTGGTGATGACCGGCTTCATTGGAGGTTTCTCCTCAGACACGGCCTCCAGGAAGGCCTGGTTGTCATCTGAGAAGAGAGGTCGATGTTACTAATACAGACAGCAAAATGGAAACATTTCTGCTCCCTCTCCTTGTGCGGGGTGACTGGTCTCGTCTCCGCCCCTTCTGTAGTTTCCTGTAGTGGGTGGGGCCTGCTGGGCTATGTACAGCACAGTGATGATGTCACTGCCACTTTTATAAGGGTATATCTGGGTATGCAAAGGCATTTTCATTTATAGTAATAAACTTATATCCTCCATTGCCATTGATTAATATATTCACATGAAGGTTTTTGCTCCTGGAGTAAAGTAGCCAATAATCCTAAATAGGAATGAGTGAATCACTAAAGAACAATAGGGGGTCCAATACTTCTCTGCATCCATCCTCCCCTTCAGTCTTTTATCTGACCTCCGTCCTCACCTTCAGTCTTCTCTCTGACCTCCGTCCTCCCCTTCAGTCTTCTATCTGACCTCCGTCCTTCCTTTCAGTCTTCTGTCTGACCTCCGTCCTTCCTTTCAGTCTTGTATCTGACCTCCGTCCTTCCTTTCAGTCTTTTATCTGACCTCCGTCCTTCCCTTCAGTCTTCTATTTGACCTCCGTCCTTCCTTTCAGTCTTCTATCTGACCTCCGTCCTTCCCTTCAGTCTTCTATCTGACCTCCGTCCTTCCCTTCAGTCTTCTATCTGACCTTCGTCCTCCCCTTCAGTCTTCTATCTGACCTCCGTCCTTCCCTTCAGTCTTCTATCTGACCTCCGTCCTTCCCTTCAGTCTGACTGTCACTGGCCCCGCCCCTTTCATTCATTGGATTTCGATTCTTTCAATCACGGAGGCTCAGCATCACATGTGGGTGTTACCTAGGGGTGGTCTACATGCAAATGCATCCTGCCTAGGAACGCCCACTCCTCCAGGCTGACACCCACCCCCCCCCTC